GTTATAGTATAATTATAATTATAATTTTTATATGCATTAATATGTAACAAAAATACACATTAATTTAAAAAATATAGACATATTGATATTTTTCAAAATTTTAGTAGTAACATGCTTTTTTATAATTGTAAAAAGTAGTTGGCCAATTATGGTTCTTTAAAGTTGGGTGGTTTAAAACGTCATTAGGTGTTATACAATTGTATAATAGCATGTATGAAGTGTCTAATGGTAAAACATTCACCTGTTTAAAATAAATATATTGTACCAGTGCTATCTACAGAATATAATTTCTATATTTATTATTTAACAACACCGACACAACACATTTTATTGACTCAAATAATAGTATGATAAGGTCTACATAGGGAATTTCCAGTAGTTAAGTTATTTTACTAATATTTTTATTATAACAATAGGCATGTTTTGGCGATGCAGTTTTTGGCAACCTAGTAACTAATTTAACAAACAAATTGTTTTGGCGATAATGTTTACTGCAATTGTTTGATAACTGAATGCACTTTTTGACAACCTGGTTGTCSGATTTAGCAACCATTTAAAAACTACGTYAACTGTCTCCGGTTACTGATATCCACTGATAACAAGATTTTATGATTTGTCTTTCGTGATCCGACATTCCGACATCTATTCTATTTATATTTTATTATATTATATTTTATATTATAAATTACAACAATCAACACTAGCGCTCCGAAGACGCGGTGGCCTGCGCAGCTACGACCGGTTTTCGTCGAGCTAGTGGGTCAACTTACGGCGAATAGAGTATAATAACTACTTGTCTACTTCTGTAGTTTTGTATTAGGTGCTTACTATAATTTATTAATTTACTTTTATTATTATATTTATTTTATTTATTAATTTTTGTTTAAACATAAGAGCTTCATTATTCTCTTGATTATTGATAATTAATAATAAACAGTACAATTGTAATAAAATTTTAATATTATTTGGGTATAAAAAATATCTATTTAATTAATTAGTTTATTATATTACAAGGAACTAGATAACTCAGGTACCAGTACCACTATTGAAAAGCATAGAAATATTACTCTAAAAGATAAACTTTCTCGTAAACATACAAAGAATACGTCTGAATGGATAGATACAAAGGCAAATCGTTTATGTAACTTGGGTTAAGAACATACCAACAGAATAGGAAAAACCATAAATGCAAAACAAATGAGTACATCGTGTAAATGTAGAATGAAGTGCTCTGAAAAAATTAGTGAGGAAATGCGTAAAGAATTATTTGGTTACTTTTGGAGTTAAGGAGATAAAAATAGGCAGTGGGATTTTATTACGAGATACGTAAAAACATTTGATAAAAAAGTATCAACGAATTCGAGTTCACGTAGACAGTTGTCAAAAAAGTATTATTTCCCTATTAAAAATAAAGAAATTCAGGTATGTAAAATTATGTTTTTGATATATCGGAAAAATTAGTGGGTAATATGAGTAAAAAATTAGCCGTTTCTACCGTGATACCATCTGACCGAAGAGGTTTACATAAAAATCGACCTCACAAAATGCAAGGAAAGTAACAGATTGTATTAAACAACACATCTCGATGTTCCATGTAGTAGATTACTCTAGAGAAGATTCGAAAAAAAAATACTTAGAATCTGATCTATCGATTGCGAAAATGCATCGGTTTTATTTAGAATGGGCCAAAATACTAAATACTATCAATGAAAAAGCTCAGAAGGCAACTTTGAAACAATATACAGATATATTTAATGAACATTTCAATCTTAGTTTTTTTTTTAAACCGAAAAAGAACTTATGCGATCTATGTAAAAAATTTAAGTTGGCGACTCCAGAAGAAAAAGTGTTGCTGAAGACTTCTAATGAAGAGCATTTAAAAAACAAGTCTATTGCCAGAGATAAAAAAAATATTGTCAAAACGAGAGCGTATAATGATCCAGAGGTTTGTGTAGCAGTTTTTGAATTTATTGCAAAAAGTACAAATTACACCTAAAAGCGAAGTTAGCTCATTTTATTATAAACGAAAATTGGCGACCTATAACTTCACCGTTTATGATTGTTCGGTATTTAAAGTGGACTGTATACTTTTATTTTAAGTTGGTAAGTGTTTTATTATATTATACACAATAATGATCTTCAGTAGACGGTAGTACAACGTTCGAGAGACTACGAATGACAATTGACAACTGATCGGAAAAAACATTATTGTCGTTACGATCGACAGACGAATAAATGTTATCGCGGGTCGCGAAAGTCGAGATAGTACAATTTATTACAGTGATATTATAAGTACCTACCTAACAATGATATTGTTAAAAAAATTGCCTATTATTGTTATACGCGGAACGAGCGTGAGGAAAAAAGGGGTTCTAGTGAAATCGCCACATGTTTGCTTAAATTCATGAAGCACAATAAAGAAAATGGTGTCAAAGGTTTTTATTTTTACTCTGACAATTGCGGTGGTCAGAATCGGAATAGGTTATATTCGTAATGTGGGAGTATGCGGCTGTCAAATTTAAAGTTAAAATTACTCATACATTTTTGGAAAAAGGGCATACCCAAAACGAGGCTGATAGCGTGCACGCGTGTATTGAAAATGCGCAGAAAGGTAAAGTCATTTATATCCCGGCACAATGGGTAACACTGATCAGTTGTGCAAAAGTTAACGGAAATCCTTATACAGTGATTGAAGTATCGAATGAAGAGTTTTTAGATTTCAAGCCCCTAGTCAATGAAAAACAGTTCAACTGAAGAACTGCGGATGATGGTACCAAAATTAAGTGGAACAGCATTACAGAAATAACGGTGGATTATAAAAATCCATTTCAACTATTCATTAGATATGACTTAATTGCGGCAGACTTAATCAAAATTGATATTAATAAAGGACATAAAAAACAAAGAGGTAGACATCAGCCTCGATGTGAACCAATTAAAGCTTATAATGGAAAGTTATCAATCGAAAAATTAAAAATTTCCGATTTATTATCATTATGCTCCATGGGACTTATTCCAACGGCCTATCATAATTTCTACAAATCTCTCCAATAGTCCAATCAAAATACACGGCATGACGTGTTAAAAATGTATTATAATTATTATTTTTATTATTTTCATATTTTAACAATATTAAAAAGAAGTTCGGTTTTTCGTTTTATAACAATTTGTAATATTATTATTTAATTTTATTAAATAKAACTTATTAAAAGTTACTTGTGTTTATTTTATTATAACTTTTATAGGTAGTTACCTTATATTTTTAACTTTGTTAAAATATAAAACCAATAAAAGCTTATTACCAATGAAAAAAATCGTAAGTTTAGATAGTACAAATTTTTTTTATTGCTTATCGTCATCAAAGAAGGTCGTAAGTATAGATGCTACTTTTTTTAAGATAGTATCTCAAAAAACTCGATGAAAATTAATTTTTTCATGTTTTTTATGATCATAAACTACATGATATGTAATAAAATGTTTAAATGGATATTTTAAAAAACAGAATAAGAACTTAAATTTGAATATTGCAAAAATCAAGATATGACGTTTTTCCTAGGGGCCATCGTTATGGAAAACTTAGTGTTGAATTTTTTAACCTTAGATATAAACACAAACAATTTTATGAATTTTGAACTAAAGGATAGTTTGCAAATATTCATGGTTTTGACGAATTTTTGYCAATATTTGAACTTCAAATACTAATAAAAAAAATTGTGCCTATGTATTCTTATAATTTTTTAATCACTATAAGAATAACTTATGAGGAACTTTGTATTCAATTTTCAAGTGTTTTGATTGGGCAAAAAACTTTTATCGACACTTCAAAAAAAAATTTCAGAAAAATTGAAAATTTCAGTTGTCTATAAGTACCTCAAAAAAAGTCAAAATGTTTTGAAAATTAATTCATGTAAAGAAAACACAATCTAAATAACTGATAAAATTTTCAAGTATTTACAGTGATGAGTTTTTGAATTACAGCCATATAAAAAAATCGATTTGGTCGAAAACTGATTTTGCGTAAAAATTTCCGTTTTTCTGTCACTTTTTTTTTGTTTTACTAAATTTTTTTGAAAACTGTTGGAAAATCATAACTTTTGACCTGTATTCAAGTGTAATGTATTGGTATAGTTAATATGTGTGATAACTGAACTATCAGTTATCACACATCCTACACACTTTTTGATAAAAACCACGCTCTCAGTAAAAACATTTTTCATTACAMAGATCATCAAAATAAATAACTATGTAACAAAAAATGGTGTTTTATTTAATACATCACATGGCGCAGTCGATTTTGTGAATAATAGACTTAATTATTAACCATGGCCAACAATTGCAATGTACCAAATCATCTCAAACTTGAAGGTAATCTGAGTGAAAATTGGAAACGATTTAAACAATCATTTGAAATTTATTTATTAGCAAGTGGTTTGAATAAAAGTGATGATGACAGAAAAATAGCAATTTTACTGAATCTGATTGGTGAAGACGCATTGGAGGCTTATAATACATTTGAAAAGACAATTAAACCAAGAACATATGATGATGAAATAAAATTATTTGAAACTTACTGCAATCCAAAGAAAAATATTTTACATGCACGATTTCTCTTTTATAATAGAAAACAAATAGAGGGTGAATCATTTGATAATTTCTTAACAGAAATAAGAAATTTGGCTCAAAACTGTGAGTTTACAAATAAAGAAAAACTTATACGTGATAAAATGGTACTTGGAACTAATGATATGGAGACACAAGAGAGACTTATCAAAATGGGTGAGTTAAGTTTGAAAGATGCTATAGAACATTTGAGACTAGCAGAAATCAGAAAAATACAAACTAAASAAATACAATCAGAAACAGAAATTAGTGTTGATGCAATACGCTCAATACAACATAAAAAAGGTTAATATCAACAAAGAAGAACATATGAGAAGAACATAAGATGGGAAAAAGAAGATCATCAAGACAAGAAAAATTATGATAATCAATACAAACAGATGTCAATGGATTCAAGGATAAACTGTATGAAGTGCGGAAAAAGTCATACAGACGCGGATAGCTGTCCAGCAAGAGGAAGAAAATGTCTGAGGTGTGGTAAGGATAACCATTTTGCTCAGGTATGTAAAACAAATTTAAATAAAAACAATGTGAGGGAACTTAAARTTAATACAGGTAAAGACAAGGCATCTAGTGAAAGTGAAAATGAATATTTTTGTGATTCAATAACCAAAACAAATAGAAAAATTAATCATATAACTTGGGTAGAGAACGTTCTAATTGAAGATAAATTACTAATAAAATTTAAACTAGACCTGGGTCTGATCCGCCGTAGTGATGGGCACTACCGAATAGTTTACACTATCGAATAGTATTCGATAGTTTGAAAAAACTATCGAATATCTATTCGAATGTTTTTTACATGACCGAATAGTAGTTTTTAAATAAAAACTATCGAATAGGCTGATAAACTATTAAACTATCGAATAGTTCGAATGACTATTCGAATAGCACTATCGAATAGTTCGAAAGACTATTCGAATAGCACTATCGAATAGTTCGGAAGACTATTCGAATAGCACTATCGAATATTTCGGAGGAATATTCGAATAGTTCGAATAAGTTTCAAATAGTTTGATTTTTAATTTTTATGGAGATGGATTATTCGAATATTTCAATTCGTAAGTTATTACTAGAGCATAGATTTATATGCATTAAAAACCAACCAAATATGCCCTTAAATATTTTAAATATGCATAAATATACCTATGCACTAAAACAGTAAAACGTTGAAATATGCAACAAATAAAAAATATCCATAAAAAATATGATTTATTAAAAAAAAGAAACATCATAATATGCAATTAAAATCTTAAAATAAGCCTTTAAAATAGAAAAAATGGATAAATATTAAATATTTGCAAAAATATGCACTAAAAAAGTTTCATTTTTAAAATCGTCTTACTATGAAACAATATTTTATGCTCACTTAGCATATTAGCACTTTAGCATATCATACAATCAGCCAGAATAAATATGCAAATGCGTATAAATCCGCGCATATATAATATATACTAACTCCAATATGGGTAACCATCCGGGTTTTTACATTTTAGCGACGAATCCTTCAAATTCTTGTACAGTTACTAAGTAGTAACTACTAACTAGTAAGTAGTAAATAGTAAATACAAAATACTACTCGTGAATACTAAATTCTAGTTAAATGACCATGGGG